GAGTCTGCATTTTAAGAGATTAACTAGTTCTGAGTACAGAGATAAGGAACACACAGGGTTAAAAGAAGAGATACAAAGGATAACCACAAAAAATGAGGACACAAAGGCCTGCTAGTGTTTTAGGCGACTTTCCAGAAATATTCCACCACGTAAACATGGCACACACATACACTTAAAATGCAAATGGGAACATTCTAGGCACACTCTCGGACTGCCGCTTTTTCCAGGTGTAATTTTAACTTCCAGGTCGCCCCCAAAGACTCCCGTTGGTCTGCTGGTCTTGTACAAACATTAGATGTACAGCCCCATCCTGCATATGCACAGCTATCCGAGGACCATGTGCTTTTTTTTTTCTTTTTTGAGATAGAGCCTCAAGCTATCCTATCCCCCTGACTAGAGTGCTGTAGCATCACAGCTCACAGCAACCTCCAACTCCTGGGGTCAAGCGAGTCTCCTGCCTCAGCCTCCCAAGTAGCTTGGACCACAGGTCCCTGCCACAACGCCTGGCTGTTTTTTGATTGCAGCCGTCGTTGTTTGGTAGGCCCAGGCTGGATTTGAACCCGCCACCTTAGGTGTATATGGCTAGAGCCTTAGCCACTTGAGCCACAGGCGCTGAGCCAGGACCATGTGCTAGCACAGTGCAGGCAGCCATGATGCCGGGGCCTTGGGCCACTCTCAGCAGATTCCTCACTTCCTGTCTGCTCTGCTAATTGCTTGCTCCACCCACTCTTTAGGCCCTGGGCAATATGGAGAAACAGGGCCAAGTGCTGCACTGGCCATAGCCGCTTCCCCACCTCAAGTGGACCCCAGGTGTCCAATGCCTTGTAGTGACCATTCCCTCAACTCTCCTACTTTATTGCCCCCGGGGATGGGGAAACAGAGTAGGCAGGAGCCTGTGGGGAAGGCAGGATAGGAGCTCAGGTGGCCCAGGACCAGGGTGACACCAGCTGAGGGAGTCTCAAACTCACATGTGCTGGCCCAGGTCTGGGAGGTCCTCAGCCCAGCACGGTCTCCTGGGTTACTATGTCTCCACCCCTCACCTATGTTCAAGCCCTTCCAGGGGTCCCTTCCCCAGAGGACTCCCCAACCCCTGACACAACTGTGCTCATCCTAACTAAAGCTCCCCCTGCTGCCCACCTTTGTGAACAGACAACCACCTCTGCAGAACAGCTGTGCCACTAGGTCATGCAGCCTGAGCCCAGGCGCCTCCCACTCCATCCCTTGCAGCCCCCCCGCAAAGCAGGTGCTATTATCACCTTCAGTTTATAGATGAGGCCATGGAGGCTGCAGAAGTAATGACTTGCCCAAGTTCCACAGCTCATGGACAGTAGGGATCAGAGGCCAGGACATCTGGCCCCAGAGCTGCAGCCCTTCCTGTGATCCTCAGCACATGGGGCCAGGGAGGGACTGGGACCCACAGCCCAGGGAAACAGCACCTGCTCCTCTCTGCCACTACACTCCCAGAGTGGCTGTCATGTGTGCCCTCATTCCGTCTGTCTGCTCCCAAGAAGGTGGCTATTTCCTACCTGGTCCCCAGGGAGCTTGCCAGATACTGGCTGTCACTCAGCTCTGGCCCTGCACTTTCTGGGATGGCCCCTTCCTTTCTGATGTTCCCTTGAGGTAAGGTTCTGGGATATGTCAGTTATCATATAGGACCGTGCCCTCTTAGCTCAGAATAGCCATCAGTGTCTCCTCTGCCTTGCGGTCAGCTGTTATGAACCACCTTGAAAAGAAAGGCCAGAACTGATGCCGGGCCAGGCCGGGCATGAGGGAGGTGGGAGATCCAGGTTGGGGGGCCTTTAGAAGAACAACATCAGGATAGACAAGAGGCCCAGGTCCCCTCCCTCTGTCCATGGCAGTGACAGCCCTACAGGACGGGTGGATCAGCACATACAGGGTTTCTTAAAAGATGAACTTAGTTGCCATCATTTAGTAATCAGGAGATTTTAGCTAAAGATACAGGTTTCTGGCTTTTTTTCTTGAGACAAGAGTCTCACTCTGTCACCCAGACTAGAGTACCATGGCATCAGCCTAGCTCATAGCAACCTCAAACCTCTGGTTTTGAACGATCCTCTTGCCGCAGCCTCCCAAGTAGCTGGGACTACAGGTGCCTGCCACAACACCTAGCTAATTTTTCTATTTTCAGTACAGATGGGGTCTTACTCTTGCTCAGGCTGGTCTCAAACTCCTGAGCTCAAATGATCCACCTGCCTTGGCCTCCCAGAGTGCTAGGATTACAGGTGTGAGGCACTGCAACGGCCAGTTTCTGGCTTTTCTTTAAATAAGCTGTGGCAACTGTAATGGCCATGAAGACATGATCTTGATCTCACACTAGCTGCTATACACTAGAATCCCTTTCCACATTTGTGCCAGGGCCATGCTGCTCCCAGCCAGTAACTGAGCCCAGCAGGGGCACTCAGGCAGGCATGTTGCTGAGAGATGTAGCCCCGCCAATGGGTGACTGGCCTTGAGGATGCCCTGGTGGCTGTGCCCAATTTTTTTCTTTTTTTTTTTTTTTGCAGTTTTTGGCCAGGGCTGGGTTTGAACCCATCACCTCCAGCATATGGGGCCAGCGCCCTACTCCTCTGAGCCACAGGTGCCACCCAGCCATGCCCAATTTCCTTGCATTGCAGCCAAGACGCTCCAGCAGGCTGAGCTGGTCCTTGGGGCAGATGAGGCTTCCCTCCTCATTTCCTCTCACCAGCACCTCCCCTAACAGAACTCCTGCCCCCCAATTCCATTTGGGGGCCTAGAGTAAGGCAGAGGCTGATGGTGACAGTGATGGCAGCATGCAGCCTGGCATGCTGTGGTACACCCTCTTGCCCTTGCTCTGCCTCTGGGGGCCTTTGAGGGGAGGCATCTGCTCTCACAAAACATGAGAGAAGCTCTCAGCACCACTTTCGGTCAGTGCAAAAACTGCTTGGTGTTTTATCACACTACAGAAGGCTGAAAAAGCAGTTGTAATTTTCTGCATTTTGTGGGAGAAGCCACGTACCATAAAAGTATTGTTCTTGTTTGTTTATAGAATGTTTCACAAATTTCGTGTCATACTTGCACGTGGGCCATGCTAATCTTTTCTGTATCATTCCAATTTTAGCCTATGTGCTGCCAAAGCGAGCATTTTTGGATAAGGGAACGAAGGAAGACAAATCTTGGGAGAGTGGCGCCTGGGCTCAGTGACTAGGGCACTAGCCCAACATACTGAGGGTGGCGGGTTCAAACCTGGCCCCAGTCAAACTGCAACAACAAAATAGCTGGGCATTATAGAGGGTGCCTGTAGTCCCAACTACTCAGGAGGCTGAGACAAGAAAATTACCTAAGCCTAGGAGTTGGAGGTTGCTGTGAGCTGTGATGCCACAGCACTCTAACCAAGGGCGATGAAATGAGACTCTGTCTCAAAAAAAAAAAAAGAATCTTGGGAAACATACCCTGGTGTCCAGGGTCTCTGGGGTTCTCCAGGGCTGTTCCCATCCTCAGAGCAACTCACGCACCTTCTTTCCCACTTCTTCAAGGCAGCCACCCCACAAATTCAGCTCCTTGGCAATCCTGTCCACTCTGTGGCCTTGACTCTCACCGGGAGGGACATAGCGTGCCTTCTCCTGACTGCCCCCCCAACCCAAGGCCTCCTGCCCCTCAGACACACACAATACCTCAGAGGGACCAGCTGCCCTCGACCCACCCCGTTGCTTCACTGTCTCTGAGGGACGTCCCTCTTCCTGAGGCTCATGCTGGACGGCACAGACAACGTTTCCCTACAACCGTCAGGTGCTGTCATGTTCCACGTGTATCCTCCTCACACCTCACCCTGGCCCCCTCTCCTGCCGGCCTGGCCCACAGACCTCCTGCTCCCAGGCACACCTGGGTATCAAGGCTCAGATGTGTCAAAGTTTCTCGTTCCCTAACAAATGAGGTCCAAGCTTCAAGGCACAGTGCAGGGCTGGCTGCAGCTGGCTCCACCCGCCCTTTCCAGCTCTCTCAAGCATGGTCCTTCAAACCTGGCCACCCCTGCTCACCATGACTGCTCAACTCCTCTCCACAGGCAAGAGCACCTTACCCAAGCTCAATTCTGTTAACTTGGAGAGACAGAAACTTGGGGTGATAATTTAAAGAGTGTGGCGGCTCTGCCCACACTGCTCAGAAGCTGCTGCCCTGCATGGGTTGGGTGCAAACTGGGATTTGCCATCTCTCCTTCAGTTCTGGGGCTGCTCATGGAGGCTGCATCTCTTGGGATCCTGGTGTCCCGTGGTACTCAGGAAGAACATTTTCATGGAATATGGCCCCCAATTGCAGGCCAGCAACAAGTGCTCACTGGAAGCCCCAGGGCTGGCTGAGCATTGGCCACAAAGGAGCTTCTCAAGAGGCGGGATGTGGGGGGGACTTCCTGTGAGAGTTCCACCTCGGCCCCTTATGCTGCCCTCTGTAGGACAGGACTCCACACCTGGCCCCTGCAGCTACCCCTCTCCAATCCTACCACTACCTTCCCACCAGTTTCTACCCCAGGCTTCCAGGCTGGCCCTGCCACCGCTCCTCCCTGAGGCTTGCTCACTCCTGTGGCCACCTGCCTACGTGGTTCATGGCTTTTCTCCTGTGGCCTCTCAGTGCACTGCGGGGCAGGGAGGTCTGGCTCCAATGCCCCCTCATCCCTCTGTGTGTGGCCCGTGACACATTCCCATGGGGACTGGTCAGGGAGGGAAGATTCTACTAAGCAATGGGGGAAGGCGGGGTTGTCACCCACCTATGTGTGGATCCAGAGGAACCCTGCCAAGGAGAGGCACATTCATGTCCTGGCACATGGCTGCTGCACCGCCAGTAGTGGGAGGGAATATCTGAGATTCTTTCTGTGAGACAAATTAAAAGGGGAGGAAGTGTGATTTTGTTGCAGAATCACAAAGATAAAACACATCTTTAACGAACATAAAAAAAACAGGGAGTGGTGGCTCACACCTGTAATCCTAGCACTCTGGGAGGCCAAGGTGGGCAGATAGACTGAGTTCATGAGTTCAAAACCGGCCTGAGCAAGAGTGGGACCCCGTCTCTAAAACTAGCCAGGTGTTGTAGTGGGTGCCTCTACTCCCCTCCCTGTGGTTCTAGCTACTTGGGAGGCTGAGGCAAGAGAATCGCTTGAGCCCAAGTTTGAGGTTGTTATGAGCTATGATGCCATAGCACTTCACAGAGAGTAATGAAGTAAGACTGTCTCAAAAAAAAAAAAAATAACCCTACAAAAAAATAAAACTAGTTTAAACACCATAATAATTTTCCTTCAGTCAGTAAGAGAGGATTTTAATTGTGATACCACTTCCCAAAATGGCAGGGAAAGCAGAAATGGTTCCACAGAGAACTTTTCCTATTGTTTCCTCAACCACCAAGACAGGGAATCATGTTAGACTGTCTGCCAGCCACGTGCTCTCACCTTGCAGTTGGGACAGATGAAGCCGCTCATGTTCTCCACCACCCCAATGATGGGCAGCTTCACTTTGTAGCAGAAGTTGATTTCTTTCCGCACATCCTGGAGTGACACCTCCTGTCAGGTAAAGAGAGGCCCGTTATTCCAAAGTCTGAGCTTAGGGAACGGATGTCCACCTGGCCGAGGGGATGGCCACAATGCAGTAGACTGAGCATCACGAGGCCTTAGAGATGTGTGCCCTCCACTCAGTATTTACTATGCTTGGTGCCCACTGGGGCTAAGGCCCGTTTGCAGCGCTATTTCTTTCTAACAAAACCCTGACAGGATAAACTCAAACAGCCAAATACCAAGCAAGGGATCTAGAGAAAAGTGACTTTTTCTTTTTCTGTAGAGACAGAGTCTCATTTTATCACCCTCGGTAGAGTGCTGTGGCGTCACAGCTCACGGCAACCTCCTTGGCTTAGGCGATTCTCTTGCCTCAGCCTCCCGAGTAGCTGGGACTACAGGTGCCTGCCACAACGCCCAGCTATTTTTTGTTGCAGTTTGGCTGGGGCCAGGTTTTAACCCACCACCCTCAGTATATGGGGCTGGCGCCCTACCTGCTGAGCCACAGGTGCTGCCATAAAAGTGACCTTTTTTTTTTTTTTTTTTTTTTTGA